ATATCATAGTTTCATAATAATAATAATAATAAGAGTTTGATTAAATGAAAAAAAGTATTATAAATAATAATAAAAAATTAAATGATATTATATAATCATTAAATAATGAACAATAAAAAATGCATTTAATATATAGATTAGTTGTGTACCCGCGTAATGCGACGAGAGCCGTGAATTTAACGATTTCGAAGTTTCACTGGTTTTATTAGAGAAGATTTAACGACAATATAAGTTACACTTGGTCTTTACATATTAATACAATTTAAATAAATAAGAGTTATGGTTCTAATTACAGTCTATCAATAAAAGAAATTGTATGATAGTTTAAAATCCAATATATTTAAAATCCAACATATTTAAACGAATCCACAAATGTGTTCGATTTACACCAAGAGCAAAGAATCAAGAGATCGAGAGCGAGACCGAGAGTTCTAGAGCAATTGAATGAGAGAACTTTTAATAACTAATGATGAATATCAGTTTGAATCTCATATCGGGGGATGGGGAGAGGACATGGATGTATGAGAAGGTGAAGACATGAGTAAAATGTGTCAAAAGTATCTTGTGAACATGAAAAGAAAAGGTAATAATGTGCATTGGTAACGCACTATATGTTATTTTAATTGTAGATTAAAAGATTTTAAGACTGAATGCATAAAGTAGTAGTAGTAGTACTTAATGCATTGTGAGTTGTTTTTATAACTTTTAAGACTTTGTGAATAAATATCTAGTACTTTATGCATTAAAAATTGTTTTTAAAACTTTTGATAAATCAGTTTTTATAAAATAATATGGGTAAAAGAGTAAATATCTCCACCTTTTTAATTGCACCTCTATCCATAAGGATGCAAATCTCCCCTTCCCCACGTTTTAGATATTATAAAAACCCACCGGTGTTCCCTTGTTTAGAAAAGTCTTGGCAAGTCACAAGTGTATTAATCATTAAATGATCCGACTTTATTGTAAATTGACTAATTCTTACATATATTTTTTAAATATATATATAATTCTATTAGGAATAAACTATAATTTTTATTTAAGATAAATTATATAAAAAAAAATAATGTACTTTAACTTGATTCATCTTTTAGGTAACGTATTTTCAAAATTTTCACTTTGATACCTATGGTGTAAAGTCTTAAACATTTAAGTATACGGATAACCAGTTGAAGATTAACTTTAGATTAAAAAAAAGACTAATTTTAGATAATAAAAAAAATCATATCACTAACCACATCAGCAAATAATATTGAGTTGGATACCACATTACTCGTCATATCAACATGATAACCAGTTAATGCTTCACGCCGAGTACTTAAATGTTTAAAACTTTACATTTTAAGTATCAAAATGGAAGTTTTGAAAGTATATTATCCAAAATAGAAATCAAGTTAATGTATTTTACTTTTTCATGCAATTTGTCCTTTTATTTTTATGGTTTGATATTCATAACAATTTTCGTTCCTGATCTCTAAAAACATTTTCTTTTTCGTGCATGTATTTTCTATTTTCATCCCTGGATTAATGCTCTTAAGAATTAGAGTTAGAAAATCTAACAAGTGATTTTAGTAAATTACATATTTGGTCCTTATGGTATATAAAGTTTTAAATATTTATCTTTAAATTTCATTTATTACATTAGTATACTATATATTTGATTGTTGTGATTTGTCGGGAATAACACTTTATGTATAAAGCTTACTTATTTTACTTTTTCTTTCGTTATTATATTATAATATTACATACATAATATTACATACATACAGACACACATGCACATACATGTTTTATACATATATGTATAGACGAATAATCGTGTAAGAAGAAAGTTAAAGTAAAAATCGTGAGAATAGATTTGGATTCTTGATCACCATTAATCTCAAAATCACTAACGACTCGCACTTGATACGAAAATTGATTATGTGCATCTCATCCTATGACGTCAGCGAACCCGACTCCAAAGTTCCGGTTTTCGGTTTTCACCATCGATTTCGGGATTTTTTTGCCATTTCATTCCCACAAACTAAACAAACCCTATATAGCTTTAAAAAACACACCTTCCTTGAAACACCGTTAATATTTCATCATTTTGATTTTTTTAAACTTGTTTCATAGTCAATTCTGCCAAACTTAAAATATAATATAATAATATAATATATATATATATATATATATATAGGGGCCCATTCAAGGGAGAACTGGCTAGTTTGTGGTAATCGTGAGATCCAATTTCAACCACAAATCAATAGATAAAAAGGAAATTTTTAATTTTAGTAATTTTTAATTTAAATTTTAATGCAAGGATATTTTATGTATTTTCTTTCCTCTCTCATCTCTCCTCTCTTCTCTCTTCGTCCCCGTCTTCCGGCCACCATCCTCCGGCCACCGTCCTCCGGTGATACCACAGTGTGATATTCAAGCACATATAAGATGCATTGTGATACCACTGTGTTATATATCTGATCGACCGCACAAACGATCACAGTGTGATACCCAATCACATATATGATGCATTGTGATACCACTGTGGTATCACCGGAGAACGATGGCGGGAGGACGGTTGCCGGAGGACGGGGGATGGAGAGAGAAGAGAGGAGATAAAATACCTAAAATACTCTTGCATTAAAATTTTAATTAAAAATTACCAAAATTATAAATTTCTTAATTTATCTATTCATTTGTGGTTGAGATTGGACCTCACGGTTGCCACAAACTAATTAGTTCTCATTTGATTAGGCCCCTATATATATATATATATATATATATATATATATAGATAGAGAGAGAGAGAGAGAGAGAGAGACTCACCATATAAATCTTGCAAACCAATCTTAATCATCCATCAAGTCTAAT